AAGTTAGATTATGAAGGACTTTAAATGTCAAACAGAACATTTTTTATTTGCTCCTAGAGGCAGTAGGGAACCACTGGAGTTTATTGGGTACTAGGGGTGACATAATAAGACCTGTGTTTTAGGAAAATCACTTTATAGTGGCTGAATGGAGGATATATTGGGGGGAGAGAGACGTGAGGCAGGCTGACCCACCATGAGGCTATTACAATAGTCCAGGCATGAGGTGGTGAAGACTTGCGTTAGAGTGGAGGCAGTATCAGAGGAGAGAGGTTGTATTTGGGAGATGCAGAGGTAAAATCAACAGGCCTTGGCAACAGATGGGATATGGGGTGGGTAAGTGATAGTATGGGGGATAAGCTATAATGAGGAGTCAAGGGTAACACCTAGGTTGAAGGACTGGAAAGATGATATGGCCCTTTACAGTAATAAGGAAGGTAGAAGGGGGAAGGGAGCAGATCAGATAAGGGGGAAAGACAGTGAGTTTAGTTTTGAACAAATTAAGTTTAAGGTGTCTGATGGATATCCAGTTTGAGATGTCTGAAAGGGATTTGGATATCTGATATTGGAGGTCAGCAGAGAGGCTGGGGCAAGAAAGGTAGATTTGAGAATCATCAGCATAGAGATGGTAATTAAATCCATGGAAGCTGATGAGAGATTACCAAGTGAAGCAGTATAGTGGGAAAAGAGAAAGAGGGTCCAGGACATAACCTTGAAGGACAGCTACTGTTAGAGGGGCATTATCTGGAGGAGGATCTAGGAAAGGAGACAGAGGAAGTGTGGTCAAATAGGTAGGAGGAGAACCAGGAGAAAGTAGTATCCTGAAAACCAAGAGAGAAGAAAATATAGAGGAGAGAGTGATCAATAGTGTCAAAAGGCACTGAGAGGTCAAGGAGAAGAAAGATTGAGAAAAGGCCATTGGATCTGGCAACTAAGAGATCATTAGTAACTTTGGAGATAGGAATTTTGGTGGAATGATAAGGTCAGAAGCCAGAGTGTAAGGGGTTAAGAGAGTAGGAGGAGAGCCTTCGAAGGGGCCTATTGTAGATGGCTTTTTTCAGGAGTTTAGCTACAAAGGGCAGATAGTTGGGGATGGATTGGATCAAGTGGGTTTTTTTTTTCAAGATAGGGGAGACGTGGACATGTTTGTAGGCAGTAGGAAATGAGCCAGTAGAGAGGGAGAGATTGAAAATAAGTGAAAGAATGGGGAATACAGAGAGGAGACAACCTATTAGAGGAGTCAGGATGGAATGGGATCCCTTGAACAAGTAGAGGGATTAGTCTTGGTAAAGAATAAGGCCATTTTATCATGTGAAGGAGGAGATAATGGTGGAAGGCACCAGAGTGATAAGAGATGAGGAAGAGGAGAGAAGAGGGAGTTTACATTGAATGGCCTCAATTTTTTTCTATAAAATATGAGTCAAGGTTCTCATCTGAGAGAGAAGGGCAGGGGGAGCTGTGTGAGGTTTGGGGAGGTCTGAAAAGGTCACTGTTCAGAGCAGGATAGTGAGTTGATAAGGGAAGTATAGTAGGATTGCCTAAGGGCATAATTTTGTAGTTGACCCAGTCAGAACAGTTGCATGGTTTTCTCCATCTTCTATTTAGCATCATGGGTGTAGGAGTTAATGCAATGAATGGTGGGAGTGATCCAGGGGTGAGGCTTAATTGGGAGTAATTGGTAGAAAAAGGGGACTAGGGATTCAAGAGTGAAGGACAGTGTATAGAGTTGAATTGATTCACCAAGAAGTTAAGATGGAGAGAAGAGGAGAGAGTGGCTAGTGTGGGAGAGATGGCCTGGGAGAGAATTAGGGGGTCAAGGGATTGGAAGTCAGAGTGTGGACAAAGAGTAGGGCTTTTTAAGGGATGGCAGAGGGAGAGGTGAAAACTAATAGATTATAGTCAGATAAGAGAATTTCATAATTCTTGAACAGAGACGTGCCTCCCTTTAATTTCTGTCCATTGGTCTAGTTCTGCATTCTGGTTCTGCTAAACGCATGTATATATCTTATTTTCCATATGACAACCTTTCAAATATTTAAAGACAGAAAATGCTTCAGAATTTTGCTAGAGCGCTTTCTTTTGATCTCTCCTTTTCCCCTTTTACTTCCTGCCTTATATTATTAAACTCATCTGTATATAGAACATGCATTTCTCCCAACTTATCATTCCCCTAGTGGACTACTGTACTCTATGAAGGTAGGAACTCTCTGTTGATTTGTCTTTGTATCCCCAACACCTAGCAATGGCCACTGAAATATTTACTCAGTTGAATTAACTATATGATGTTGGGCAAGATGAAGCCTTTGATTGATATCTTCATTTGTAAATGGGAATAGTAATATTTGTACAACTATTTTATAGGGTTGTTGTGAGGATCAAATGTTATGTGAAAAGTTCTTTGTAGATTATAAATGCTATGTGAATCTCAAAATGACAGAATTGTGGAATTTGAAAGTACCTCATTGGCCATTTGGCCCAACCTCTACTGGAACAAGAATCTATCCTACAAATAGCCAGCGAGTATTCAGCTTTTACTTAATGATCTCCCTATATATACTACTCCAAAGAGGGAGGATATACCTTCTGAGTCAGCCCATTTTATTTCCGGATATAGCTAATTGTTATGAATATTTTTCTTTGCTAAGAATATTAAATAGAATACTATGATTTCATTGATGCAGATGACAGTCTGTCTATGCCTTCCTAACCTGTGCTCTTCCTTTCCATGCTTTCTCACAAAGTCACCTCAAATTGTAAATCTAATGTGTTGGAGACCTTTTTTGCCTTCTCTGGACAGTAAATGGGCTATCATCAGTTTTCTGCTCCTCTTGCCACATAACCAGCTTATTTTATTTTTTGCTTGAACATTTCTTTGATGATGAAGATAACAGTTTCAGTAGTAATAGCCACCATTGACCTGGAGTATAGTCTCTAAAAAATTCAACATGAGTGAGAAGAATATGCACAGACATAGAGTACAGTAAGGAACACACATGCCCAAAGCAATTGTCACCTCCAGTGCTGTAGTATCCCACATCCTCGGAGTCTTTTCTCTTCTCACAGTGTCCTTGCCCTGCTTCCTCTGATTATGGTTTTTGTGGGGTAGGTTGCTCAGCCAGACTCTTTGGGCTCCTGGGTATACCATCTCTTTTTCTGGGCCAGTTGCTCTACTGAAAGATGCCATTGTTGGGAGAGGGGACTGTTGAGAGAAAAATCTCGTTCTCGCCCAACCCCTACACTCTGAAGGAAGCACATGGGAAAAGGCCACAAGTGATTCCCTGTCAAGCTGAGTTCTTCCTTCATAGCTTGTTATCTTCACACCTTACAGACATCACTCACTGTCTTCACTGACTTTTTTTAGGGTGTCTGAAGAATTGGCCAGCTTACTTTTTAAAGACCACTAGTTATGACTGGTCTTTTAACCAGCTAAGGGCAGTCTTAAGAACTTCGTACCTTCCAAAGGAGCATGAAATGTAAATGCTCCTTTATTAACTATGAATGGGTCATTTTCAGTTTCAGATCCTTTTGATCTGTGAATATTGTCATTCAGGTTATGAGCCATTCAAGGTCTCAGAGTCCTTAGATGGTACAAAGGGAAGAGCATAAGCATGTGTATAGTGCCTACTAATAGTGCTAAGTGCTTTACAAATATTCTTTCATTTGATCCTCACAGTAATTCTTCAAGGTAGTAGGTGCTGTTATGAGGCAGACAGAGCTTAAGTGACTTGCTCAGAGTCACACAGCTAATAATTGGCTGGATTTAAGCTAGAATCACTTCTATGAGGGTGGCTTCATAGAGGTGTTAGCACTTGAACTAAGCATTGAAGGATAAATCAGATCTCAGCTGGTAGAGACAAGGTGGTTGACCATTCCTGGTGTTTGGGAATGACCTGAACAAAAGTGTTGTGGAGGTAGAAAAAGCATAGAAGGTGTTTCATGGGTTTCCAGTTTGACTGGAAAGTAGAGTATGTAAGAGGAAATATGTGAGGTCAGGCTAGAAGGGAGGTTGAAGTGTGTGGTGGAGGGCTTTCAAATAGATAAATATTTAAGTCTGTGGTATTCTAGAGTATTTCTGACCTCGAATATGAGACTAAGGAGTTTAGTTTTTATTTTCAATTTGTGAAGTAATAGAGATCATATCAGTGTATCAGATCAGTTGGGTAGAAGGAATATGTAGAGTGGATTGGGACAAAGTGAGACTAAGGTAGTCAGTCAGGGGAAGCTAGTGAGGAGACTGTTTCAGTAAGTCCAAACAAGAGACAGAGAGAGTCTGAACAGAATGGTGGTAGTGGGAAAAGTTAAAGGGATGCAAGAGAGATTTCAGAGATTGAATCAATAGGACTTGATAATTCATTGGATGTTTGGGATCACAAGGAGAACCTGAAGATCATAAGGTCATTGTTTTAGAGCTACAAGAGACTTCAGAGGCCATCTTATGTAGCCCTTCATTTTACAGGTGAGGAAACTGAGAGAGCTTAAGTGACTTGCCTAAGGTAACCCAGATAGTAATCATCAGAAGGAGGATATGAACTGAGATCCTGTGAATTCAGAGCCTTCCTTAGAGCCCCTCAATGACTCTTGAAGTTATTAGTTTCAATTCCTCAAAAAAATGGGGCTTCTTTTGACAGATGGGGAAGTCAGGAAGAGCAAGAATTTAGCATGCCGCTTGCCTAGATGAATACTGCTGTGTTTGTATAGTTTTATTGTAGGTTAATTATAATATTAGGCTATATCAAATATAATTGTCAAGATGAGGTAGTAACAAAGCAAAATACATGATTTTTCACTTATTTGCTGTTTAGAGTTATCTACGCCATTGTTTTCCCTCCATTACTGTCATGGTGTAAAGAGTTTCTCCATTACATTTCCACAGCAACATGTTATTTAGAGGCATTTTTCTAAGTACGTATAACATGCAATTTTTATTTTCTGAAGTACTGATCTACTTTGTGTTTCTGCTTATTTGTTAGAATTCATTTGACTTCTTTCCTTCCCCCTTCTAGGTCCTAAGAAGTAGTGCTAATGGAACAAGATGCTTCTCTGAGGACTTAATGCTTCAGACTTTGGAAGAGCTGCTCTTTGAATCTGTCACATTCCTCATATAGTTACCCTACAGCCCTATCCTCTGGAACCAGGCTGCTCTGCAAACATTTTTTTTCTCTTAATAATGGGTATTGGCAAAAACACCACATCAAAGTCAGTAGAAACTGGAAGCTCTACTGAGGGCAAATATGAAGATGAATCTAAGCATCCTGCTTTCTTCACTCTTCCGGTAACAATATTTATAATCTTCTTAGTCAGAACTCTAAATAGTTTCAGTATTTAACCAATATGATATCTCAAATAACTGCATTTTCATCCAAAGGTAAGGCATTGAAGGAAGGGAGTGCTGTTGATTATGAGAACTTCTATGGTGTTAATGGCTAATTTTGGACTTTTCCTTTTTAGCCCTGTTTTACCAAGAAAAAGTGCTTACTGGGAATTAAGTCCAGGAAGGAGACATATATTGTCATTAAAAACTTAGACAAGGTCAGGTCACAAGGTTAGGCTTAAATTTATCCGCAGAAATGTGGTAGGATATTACTCAACTTTTGTACTTGACCTACAAGTAAGGAAATGAATGAATTTCATTGTTCAGAATACAAATTAAAGGTGAAATAATTTTATCTGAAAAAGTGATATCAATCAGATATGGTAGATTATCGTGATGTATTATATATAATACCAACATTATTTTCAAGATGCAGGATAATCTGGCAAGTTTAAAATTACCTTAAGTGGTTATATTTTTAAAATCTCTTGAGTGGTTTGCCTTAAAGTTTCTTTGTTATTGCCTTTTACACCAGCGAAGATTTTCCTGTATAAGATTGTCAGTCATTATTTTACCTAATGTGGTTAATATCAATCATGATACCTTGGAGTTCCTCATAAAATAATGTGGAATTAGCTTTAGTTGTATGATCATAGTTCTGCATTTAAGAATACCTGGAAATAAAATCCTTTAGTACTTGAACTTAAATTGTTTTTGTATTTTTGATGTTTCCTTTATACTTTAATAAGATCTCACTGATTTAAAACGTATTCTTGTTACTTCTCTCCAGGAAGAGAGTAGAAGTACTAGGAAGTAAAAATGCTCATGAAGAGTCTAATAATACTGTATTAAGAGGGGATGTGAACACTGTTTTTGGAGGGAATACCCACATTGATGACATCATGGATCCTGTTAATATTTTAGCTATACGATATAACACTCAAACTTAGTGCAGAACTGGAGGGTTTGTGGCGGTTACAAGGAGGAAGTGCCAGTTACCTTAGTCTTACATAGAGAGAGCAGAAGGATCTGGAAAGCCCAGTGAAAACAGAAGACATGATAAAATGAAATGGGCTTAGAATAATGAAGCAGATATTTTGGTTAGTCTGTGGGAATATCTTGAATCATAGCAGTGATTTAACAGTGAAGATGGCCAGAACAGTGGAAGGAATGGAAACCATCAGTCAATCAGCAAGCATTTATTAAGTGCCTGTTGTGTGACAGGCAGTATTCAGGGCATCGGGGATATAAAGACAAAACCGAAGTAGTCTCTACCCTAAAGGAGGCTTACGTTCTAGTGGAAGAGACAGCATGTAAATGTATAGCTATATGTAAAATAAATGCAGTCTATTTTTGAAGGATTGGGGGAGGCATTAGCAATGGGGTAGGGGGAGAATCAGGAAAATCTTTGTGTAGGAGTTAATGTTTGAGTTGAGATTTGAAGGAAATAAGTCACACTAAGATAAGAGGCAGAGATGAAAACGTGTGTTACAGTCTTGAAGGATAGATAGCCAATGTTCTAATGTCTTTGTGACCTTAGCCTTCAAGTATCTGAAGGATTGTCATGTTTACATGACAAGGAATTAAACATGCTGCTTGGCCCCAGCAAACAGAACCAGGAGCAACTGGAAGTTACAGAGAGGCAGATTTTAGCTCAATATTAGATTAAACTTTTTAACCATTAGAGCTATCCAAAAGTAGGGTAGATGGCTTTGGGAGATGGTGAATTCTTTATCATTAGAAATTTTCAGATGGAAGCTTGATCCCTTCTTTTCTGTCACCTCTTCCTTGCTTCTACTTCCTACAGGAAGCCTCTCTTGATTCCTCTAGTTGTAAGTGTGCACTTTCTCCTCACATTATGTATATGCATAGCCGTGTATGTATTGTGCTTCCCTGGTAGAATAGAGTCAGTCACCTTGAGAACAAAGATTGCTTCATATTTTTGTTCTTTATCCTCAGCACCAACCATAGTGCCTTGCCCTGTAAATGCTCAATAGGCTAAAAATGAAAAGGAGTTTTGGCTGGAGATACTGAGAAGTTAGTCAGTATCAGACCTGGTCCTTAGATTCAAGACCTGAGCTGGGAGAAGAACAAAGGAGTGAGCTGGTTGACTTTCCCACTTCTCCAAATGGAGGCTCCCAGGAGAAACTTACAAGTCCTTTCTTTTTTGGTAGTTGAGCAATGCCTTGATGGATTTTGAGACAAATGGTTATTTTCTGTAATTTCTTAGTAGTCAAAAGTTGCTAAGTACCCAGAGGTACTTAAGAGTCTACACCTATAGGAGTACACAGGAGATTGAATCTAGTGTTTGTTATTTGGTAACTGCAGCTAGAAAATAATATGAATAAACCTGTCATCTGTTTTTAAAGGCAGTACATGATAGGTTTTGGGGTACATGTGAATGAAGTGTGGCAATAAATCAGAACAAAAAACATGGCAGAAATTGTTGAGGAGCTACCATTTGTCAATAATACCTTCAGCAAAGTTCAGCCAGGGAAAGATAGCATGTCCGCTCTGCAGTGCCAGTGTATGGATTAGTATCTTATTGACTGTTTGAACCTGTTGAGCCTCCAGAAGAAACCAAGTTAATAACCTGAACTAAATGAATGCTGGCATAGGCACAGATATGTAATACAATCCGCTGTTTGTTTCAGCAAGGTCAGTATTTTACTGTTGAGCTCAGGTTTGAGGAAATATTTTAAGAATGCTTAAGCTTTTACTTCCCCCACCTTCTTTAAAAACCGTTTGTCTAGGATCATTTATACCTTTTCGTTGGCTGGAAACAGCAGGTTATTTAATGGAGAAAGGAATTTGTGGGCTACATGCTTTGGGTGATATAAAAGTGGACTTTTGGGTTCAGCCTAACCAAATAAAAAATGAAAACAGTGAAAGAGTCACGATGGTGGTATGGATTACAGAATAAAATATATCTATTGGTGCTATGCTAATTCAAGTTCATATTTATATAGATATAGATTTTATAAATCATATTCTTGATAATAGCCCTTTGAGGTAACAGAAGCAGTATTATGTCCATTTTATAGAAAGGTGCCCATTCACATCTAATAAATGATAGAGCTAGTACTTGGAATTGGTTCTAGCTCTTGGTCTAGTATTCTTTCTGTTAGTGCCACTAATTTTAATATCATTGAACTTACTAGTTTGAGGTATTCTTGGTATTTTATATCTTCCTTAAGAATTCTGCAGTACTAAGGATGTTGAATTGAAGAACATAAGACTCTTGACTTAAAGATAAAGGTATAGTTATAAGTCATCCCTTTCAAAAACTCCATCTCTCTACAAATCTCATATGATGGACTTGAAAATTTCACATTAGTGCAGTTGAATAGGCTTTCAGGCTGGTTCAAATGAGGCACCTAGACATCGTTTGCGTTGGCATCTTTGAGCATGGAAACAATTTTCAAAATTCATCTTTTGGGAAAGAACAGTTCCATGTTCAGGCATCATGACTAACTTTGTTGAAAGTAGTAAAATAATTGTTAGTTTCCAGTCTGCTATAACTTCAGATGAAAGCGTTTGAGTTGTCAGATTTTTTTCCTGTATATAGGGGGAAAAAATTACAAAATTTTGTCCTTTTGTCTAGTGTTTCTAGTGTTTCAAAAAACCTTAAGTTTTTCAAAAATCTCATAGAGACCGTAACTCTAGTAGGAATTTGGAGTTCATCAGAGAATATCTGGTTTAATTTCCTCCCCCTTTGTCATTTGTACCTGGACTTTTCCTTTTGCTGTAAATAGATACTTAACACTTTATTAAAGTGATTCTGTAATCTAGGGAACAAATGAAGTAGAGAGCTTATTGTGAACATTAGAAAACTAATTGGTGTTTTTAGGAGTGAAAATAGTTCTCATTTTGAAGTTCTAAGACAAGGATACCAAGGTAACAGCTGCAAGGTTTGAAATAGTTGTTGAATTAGGTATTGGATAGGAGAATTTTTCAGAAGTAAGACTAAGAAGGAAATAAAGGAATGCTGTCTGATATATAGAAAGGCTAATTGCAAGCGTAATAAGGTACCTGAAAGAAAACACTAAACCCAGCAGTCCAGATTTGGGAGGAGCCACACAATTAACAGTGAAGGGAAAGTCAAATTGTAGGTGGGACTTAGGGTTATAGAACTTTAAAAGAGAGGATAAGGAGCTCAAAGTATCCATTGAAAGGGGATTGTGAATCAGCCCCTTGGGAAGCTAGGCTAAGGATTACAAGAGGTAGAACCTTGTGGACTGATGGATAACTGGAAAGGCAGTGAGGTGAGTAGTGGGAAGTTCGTAGTGGATGATAATGACAAATACAGAAACCTGAGAGGATGTAGAATATAGAAAAAGGTACGGTTTTTTTTCCAGAGAAATGACAGGGTTTGTGTTGAATAAGTCATTTAACAATAATATTTTAACTGACAGTTTTCAAAAAAAGAGAATTTTTTTTCAGTAGACTATAGAAGAAAGAAGTTAAAGCAGGGATTGGTGAAAATGGTCTCATTTTTCAGAAGAAACATATGAGACCAAAATGCTATATTCTTTGTGTGAAAATTTAATGATAGATGCTGTGGCTTAAATCATCATCACAGCCCTTAGCTTATTAAAAATTCCAGAATATTGTATTTTTTCCCTTAAAATTCATTCCTGATTTTATAGTTATTATAGTCTCCTTATAATAAATAGGTTGTTCTTTTCGGCTACATGTTGTATAACAATAGTATATTTATCACTATTGAATTTTGCATTCATCCAAAAGCATTTGTTAAGGACCAGCTAAGTACCAGATTTTATGCTCAGTTCTGGGGCTGAAAGACAAAAGGGAATCATCTCTCCTCAGGTGCTTATATTTGATTGGAGGAAAACATTATCTATGTGTACATGTAAATATAATACAGGGAAGGCAGTATTAGCTAGAGTGACCAGGGAAGTGTCAGGGAGGAGCTTGAGCTAAACTTTAGAGGAAGGTAG